TCTCTCTTTCTCTCTCTCCCACACACACACGTGTACACACGCTAGGTGCGGTTAGCCTGCTTTCTTCTGTAGTTAGTAGAGGAGTGGGGAATTCCACGCGTCCGCGCTGCGTGCGTTAGTTCCACGGCCTCGCGTTTCTAGAGCACCGCCGAGATCAAAACTCGGTCGACGATGAGACACGCTGCAGCATCGCATCTCAGATCAATTGAGACGACTTGAGACGCGGAGGATCGCGTCTCAGATTGATATCTATAGAGACGAGTTGAGACGCGGAGAGTATCGCGTCTCAATTCGATTGAGGCACGTTGAGACGCGGGAATCATCGCGCTATCGCTACAGGTTGGATAAGTCTGTCCCTCAAATACATCTGCGTGAAATCTCGAGGTCCGAGAAAACCAGACGTAAGAGGCACGCTAGAGATCGCTAAGGAGTAACAGTACCAGCACGATGCAGGATGTACTTGTGTTGTTACCCATGATATCGGTCAGCAAATTGCTTATCACTACCGGATAGGTTTCAGCTTTCTTAAAGAGCAATATTGACAGCGCACAAAGATGACGGATAGAGCTCATAGCTCATAGCTCTTTACCACAGCTTCCAGCCGCCCACTCCCCACTCACCCCCCCCCCCCCCCCCCCCCCCCCGCCTCTCATTCGACCACGAGAAGTTGTTACCTGGCCACCGTTTACGCTCCACATACAACTCAAGATTTGGGGCAACCTTTCAATTGAGGAAATCGCTGAGCTGAATACTTAAAACTAACTAACGTGGCTGTCTTGACAACGTGTCGCTATTGCAGCGGTGGGTTTTAGACTATCCCCGTGAAGCCGTTACTAGCATCAACCTCCTGGGCTCAGCCATAGGAACCTTTGGCATCAGTCCAGCTGCGGGCGACAGTCTCTACTCTCTAGCCAATTAACGCTTTTACACAAGGACAAAACAACACGACGAATGCGAAGGATATTGCTAAACGATGAGGAACAGTACTCACTGTTTTTCGTCGGCTTTCTTCTTCGGTAGATACGATTTCACCAATTTCCTGCAAACAACGAGAAACGAGGCCGTCATTATGATGTCATTATTACGGGGGAGGGGAAGGTTTTTCTACGGGGGTGCTATGACAACAAAACGTTTTTTGATCGGAAGGCTGTTACAATGTAATGCTTTCTTGCTCACGGATGCTCTAACAATGCAACGTTCTCGGAGGCTCTTACAACGGCACGATGATTTTTCTCGGGGGTTGTTATAATGGACCGCCTGTGTTTGTTCGTGTGCATGCGTGCGCGTGTGCGTGAGTTGTGTGTGTGTGTGTGTGTGTGTGTGTGTGTGTGTGTGTGTGTGTGTGTGTGTG